TTTATTTTGGCATATTATGGGGGTACAGATTTTAAGGTTTCAATAAATGCCCTTTCCCCCCTCCCCCCCAAGTCTGAGTTTCCAGCATGGCCATCCCCCAGATGGTACACTTCTCACTCACATATGTATATACCCACCCCCCTCGCCCCTGCCCAATACTCTATTACTGTAGTACCTATGTGTCCACTTAGGTACTACTCAGTTAATACCAGTTTGCTGGTGAATATAGTAACAGTTTATTATTAAGTATTATGAACTGTACGTATAATTGTATGTGCTATACTTTCATGCAACTGGCAGCACAGTAAGCTTGTTTACACCAGAGTCACTACAAAACAAGACGTCACTAGGCAACAGGAATTTTTCAGTTCCACTATAATCTTACAGTCATTATGTGGCAGATTATCAGAGTCAAGGACCTCAAGTTCAGTATATGGACTTTTATGCTTTTTCTGCTCTATGACCCAAATCTTAGCCATCCAACTTAATAATAAAGTTAAAGTACCTTAAATGACTATCTTTCCATGCATGAAGCCATTTTCAAACATCTCTCCATCTAGCATCTAAGAAACTTCTCTACTTGCAAAAAAAAGTCTTCCTCCAAGTCTTTTCACCCAACCAAAAGAAAAAAACCCCACAAAAACAAATTCCTTTGCTCGAATAAAGGAGACTCAATGCTGAAAACGGAGCTGAAGGGGAAGAAAAAGGTCCTTCTTCCAGAAAGCCATTCACTACTGTCCACCCACTGAACACTACTTACACCATATGCAGCGTTAAGTGATGTAAATCAAGAGGTCACAGTCCATAGAAGACATTCCACTATCCTTAGCTTAAAAGCCAGTCAATTAAAATACTCATTACTTCTAGAAAATGGTTAATTTTAAATAAAACATTTTTTAAAAAGGAGTTCAAATCATGTGGTGGCATCAAACTAATGCAGTGCAATACTATCTGCTTAATGGAATGGAGGCAGACAGCAAGTTTAAAATGAAATAATAAACGTGGAGAAGTTTCCCAAGTGTCATTTCATTATGTGATGAATTCCCAAACAAAATGTAATTAGGTAGGGAAAAGAAGGAAAAAACCACAGTAGTGAGCTACTATTCCTTATCACACATCACCTACTTATGTTACATTCCTATCCAATATGTCCTCAAATAGTCCTAAAACAAACACAGGAAGTTATTCCCTCTATTACTCACTATCAAAGACCATTCTTTCAACTGGCAGTCACCACCTATTAGGTAGTTACAACCTTGACTAACTCCCTTTCAGCTAAAAAAAAAAAAAAGTCAAGTAATCAGTCTCCAATGCTAGCAAACTGAAACTGTAGGTGATACATATTTTTCCAACTTTCCTAAATTCTGGATTCCCTTATTAATCACTGTAGGGTAACCATGACATAGGCTAACCAGAAAAAACAACTCAAATTCAGTATTTTTTGAGCACTCTGGGTCCTGGACATTGCTATAGGGCACAAAGGAACACCCTCAGATTCAAAGCCCACCTTTGAGGAATATGCCATCTTCCAGGTGGCAGAGGGGATTAAAGATTTACCAACACACAGTTCACAACCATACCAGCTAAAGCATGCACATGTCTGCCGGTACAACACGAAACAAAACAGTCTTTAAATGTCTTTGGAGGTAAAATGTAGTGTTTTTGTGTTTTTGGGGGGGAGACAGTCTTACTTTGTCTCCCAGGCTACAGTGTAGTAGTGTAATCATAGCTCACTGGAACCTCAAGCACCTGCACTCAAGTGATCCTCCTGCCTCAGGCTCCCAAGAATTTTAAAGGGGACAAAAATCACCTGTTGTCTGAGGAAATCACCCTTCCAAAGAAAAGTGATTCTGCAGCAGAGGTTAAGAATCCTAAAATCCTGGAACATTTTGATATACAAATAGTTCAACAGTATCACAGCCAGAAGCAATGGTCACTCTTTTTGTTATTTATTTAGAACAGCCAAAGAGTCCTTACAATTTTTGTGTCTGTGAGACAGAGTCTTGCTTTTTTGCCCGGGGCTAGAGTGTCCTGGCATGAGCCTAGCTCACAGCGACCTCAAACTCCTGGGCTTAAGCAATCCTTCTGCCTCAAGCTCCTGAGTAGCTGGGACACAGGCATGTGCCACCATGCCCGGCTAATTTTTTCCATATATTTTTAGTTGTCCAGCAATTTCTTTCTATTTTTAGTAGAGACGGGGTCTTGCTCTTCCTGGTCTCAAACTCCTGACCTCTAGTGATCTTCCCACCTCAGCCTCCCAGAGTGCTAGGATTTCAGGCGTTGAGCCACCACACCTGGCCACAAATTTTAAATAGGGTAACAGTTTTAAGGGCAACTCAAGCTACAGCCAGATACGGTATGGCTTTTGAAATAAGGTGTGAGGGATATTAAAATACTTTCTCCCCTTTGATCAATACTGTAATATTTGTATTTCCAGAAATTAATCTTCCCCACCTTAATAGGTGTCTCTTAAATTTACTTCTTATGTAAGATGTCTCCAATAACATGACAGGTTCTAACTATGATTTTGTATTTCCATTAAAAAATACAAAGTTTGACAAAACACTTTACTAACAACAACAGCATCAACTTTTTACTAGTTGACTAAATCATTTTCTCCAGCTTTGCTGTATCACTGTCTTTCCATTCCGAAATTATCATTTCTAACATATTCTTATTTTTGCCAGCTTCACTTTTCTTCTCATAATCTTGTTTCCTTCCACTCTGAAGTTCTCAAATTCTATTCATCAAGGAGGAACTATAGCATTTGTTAAATGCAGCCCGGGCCCATTCTAACTTGCCAAGGCCATGGTACACGCGTCTCACCACTAGGTGGTGTCCTGGGTAAATATAAACCAAACCAGATTTTTAACACAATTATTTCGAAGTGTGGGGGGGAAGGTTTTTTTAAATCCCATTGAAACATCAACTAACAAATATAAAGGCTGATTATATTCTCTAACTTGTTATCAACAGGCATCAGATGTGATTTAAAAGTGTTTCGTGTGTAAGCATTAAACAACAGAAGTTGACCTTCACACAAGAGCAACAGTAAGGTGTCATGTCATGCGTGTGCCCTCTTACCGGCTACACTCAATGGAAAAAACAAGTAATGTTGTGACATATTCAGGAAAATTAAAAACTAATTTACCAAGTTTTGAAGTGCCTTGTTTAAAACTGTTAAAAAAGCAAAAGACCACCCCTTCTCCAAACCTGGTTTTTGAGTTACCCAGGATGAAAACTGTTGACTGTGGTGGTGGATGGATGCAATTGTTTATTTGTTTGAAACTACTCAAAACACAGTTAAATTCAAGGTAAAATGGTTTTACCCTTGTTTCTACCACTCAAAAATAATGGTTTTGGTTACAAAGGAAAGCTGTTGTATGACACCTAGTAGCAGGTATCACACTGTAATTCCAAATCCACAATTTAGTCTTTACAGTATTAAATACTCCCCCCATCCCATCCTCCAGAGAAGTCTGTCCTGCAGCCATAAATATCTCCCAAATCTAACACTCAGAAACAACGGCATTTTAAAACACAGCTTTGAATGCAGGGTGCCAAACTCATCTGGAATTCCTTAAAAGCTCTGAAATTCCCACCATTCTCATCCTCCACAGTACCACACTTACTACGGCTTTTTCAAAAACCAAATTGCAAATTTAAAAACCAAAATCACCTCTTTTGCTCCCACTTCCTGTCACGGCATCCACACCTGCAAACTACTCAAAGAAATTTACCCCCCAAGTTTAATGTTCTGAATAACCCACAAAGTCCACAGCTCATAAAAGTGTGTGTACATGGAGTACTCATCACTTTAACACAGGGTATACAACCCCAACCCCTTGGAGCTTAAGGCTCTCAGTTGTGGAAACAAGAAAAGCCTGGATTAAACCTCCCCTGAGACAGTAAGGGGGGGGGCACACATGCACATAATCCCTTCCACAAACTATCGTTTTGATACATACAATTATTAGGAAAAATGTGATTAAACATGAACAAGCAGCAACCAAGTTCAAATAGTGTGTTTACCTTTCCTTTTTTGATCACTTACTTTTCCACTAAATCAATTAGTTGACAAATACTACTCATAAAATCTTACTAAAAATGCACAATTCAAATAAAAACGTAGAAAGATAGCAAAAGGCGCGGCTCAGCCTACTCTTCCCAGATCTTCTGCAGCCTTCGGCTTCATGGGCAACCTTCCTTCCCTCGGGTGGTGGCACGATCCTTCTGCTCGGGCCATTTCCTCCCCACGGTTCGTGTGAAAAAGTTACTGATGAAGTTTACACACCTGACTACCAACCCGTCCTGGAAGGCGCTACCTCCAAAACCTTTTCAGAGTCAATATAAGGTCGGCATTTCGCACTCCCCGTGTCAACTTCCTTTCCCTAGTTGGCGAAGAATTTATATAAACTTAAGTTACATAAACTTAAGTTATATAAATTACAGTTCAAATCCTCTGAAGTGAAACAAGGGAAATAGGCTTTTCACGTAAGACGAAAGTCAGTTTTCTAGTCACCAAACTTCTGAAGAACCGGCCGAGAATTCCACCAACAGGGCTCCGGCGTCCCCGCCGCCCGCCCGCCCGTCTCCCTCCATACTTGGAAGCATGGCCCACCACGAGGACCTCACTCTGCAAACCTCCAGGGATTCTGGCTTCGGAGTCAATTACGTGGGCTCTAAGCAGCGAAAAAACACCAAGACGCCCGGCCCCCGGCCCAGCTAGGCCGCCCCGGCGCGGGCCCCACCCCCAACGGCCGCGGAGCCGGCCCGGCGCGGGCAGGGAGGCGGGAGGAGGAGACAGACGCCGGCAGACTCCGACCCGGCCGCCCTGCAGACCCACGGCCGCCTGCGCCCGCGCCCGCCCCCGCCCAGGCCCGGCCGGAGACCCAGGTCACCCCACCGCCGCGACCCGGGCTCCGGGTCAGGTCCGGCGCCTGCCGGGCCTCGCACGCGACCCTCGTCCGGCTTCCCCCCTGCCCGCGGCGGCGCCTCACCGAGGACACGGGAGGCCGGCGGCGGGAAGCAGGGAGGGGGCGGCGGCCCGGGGATCCTCTCGGTGCTGGCTCGGCTGTGCTGGTGGCGGCTGCGGCTCCTCGCGCTTTCCTTTCTCTCCTTTCTCCAACAACAAACAGGAAGTACGTCAGGCGGCGGCGTCGACTTCCGCCCTGTCCTGACGCCGCGCATGCGCGGACGCCGCTGCCCCACGCCGGGCCCCCGGCAGGCCGCGCCTAGCCTCTGCCTTCGCGAAGGTTCTCGGGTGTTCGGCGGGCTGGGGGCGGGGAGGCGGCCTCGGCCGCGAGGAGACAGGCGTCTGCCGCTGGGCAAGGGGCCTCCGGCGTCTTCCTCGTGCCCACGGTGCCCTGCCCACCGCCAGCGGGAGGTGGCGGCGGAAGCCTGCGGCGCGGGGAAGCCCGCACGGGGCGGCGATGGGGGACCTCTGCCCTCCCGCAGGCCCCGCCGCCGCCGACGCCCGCGCAGCCCGGTGACGGAAGCAAAGAAAGCGGGGGCCGAAGACGTAGGGGCGCGGCTCAGCCTGCGCGGTCGGGCGCCCTGGAAACGGCGCCGGGTCTGTGCCGCCGCCGGCCGTCCCGGCCTCAGCAAGCGTCCCCTTCCCCAGACGCGACGGCCGCCTCGGGAGTTTGCAGGCTGCGGCTGCTTTGGAAAACGCGACTCGCGCCCTGTGGAATCAGAAATGTGGGCGTCTCGAGTCGCGAAGGAGAAGTCCAGCTCTAGCGGGTCCGGGATCTGATGAGGCAGACACGCAGCCGTAAACTGAAAGTGAAATCCTCAGCCCCCCTTGACTGGAGGGACCCGCTCGAGCCGAGAGGACCCCAGAAAAATCCTGCAGCTGAGTCCCTGCTGAGAACTAAAATAAAATCTTGAACTAAAATAAAATCTCCTGGCTGACGGGATAGAGCTGACCCCCCCCCAGGCCAAGGGGACCCCAGAAAACCTTAAAGCTCAGTTGCTGACCGAGAGAAGGGAGGTCAGTCATGCGCCCTCCCTCTTGGAGTTTCTCTTGTCACAATAACGTAATAAATCATTAGCAGGACCTAAGGCCCTGGAAGACTAAGCTGAAACCACACCTGCAGACCATTAGTTTGCTTAAACGATCATTCCAGTGTCAGTTAATGTCCAGTGGCTTGTCTCCGATTAACAGATTTCCTTACCTAAAAACATTCCAAACCTTTAGACAAAAATTCATTCTTTTTTAATTTTTTTTTTGAGACAGAGTCACTCTGTTGCTGAGGCTAGAGTGAGTACCGTGGTGTCAGCGTAGCTCACAGCAACCTCAAACTCCTGGGCCTCAGCCTCCCTATTAGCTGGGACTACAGGCATGTGCCACCATGCCCGGCTGATTTTTTCTATATATGTTGGTTGGCCAATTAATTTCTATTTTTTATAGTAGAGACGGGGGTCTCACTCTTGCTCAGGTTGGTTTCGAACTCCTGACCTTGAGCAATCCACCTGCCTCGGCCTCCCATAGTGCTAGGATTATAGGCGTGAGCTACTGCGCCTGACCCAAAATTCATTCTTTAACCAGTTACAAACCAAAGAAGCTTTAAACCCACCTATAACCTATATAAGCTCCCTCCCACCGTTTTGGGTCAAACCAATGGGAGCCTTCCATGTATTGATTTGTGATTTTACGTTTAATTCTTGTCCCCATCAATGTATGAAACCAACCTGTAACCCGACTGCCTCTGGGCCATTTTCTCACAACCTCTTGAGGTTATGTGCTCTGGACTGGCCATACACATTTAGCTCAGTATAAACCTCTTTAAATTACAGAGTAGGGGTTTTTTCCATTAATGCTAGTCTTGAAAGACAGGGAGGTCCGACATGCCTCCTTATGGCCCCTCCCTTTGGAGCTTAGACACAACAATTGACCAGCATTAATGTTAAAAGTACAGGTCATGAGACTGTTAAAAAAGGCTATTTGTGACAATAACACTAAATCATAAACAGGACCTAAGGTCATGGAAGGCAAAAGTTAAACTATGCCTACTGACCGTCAGTTTGTTAAAGAGATCTCTTTGAGTCGTGTTGACTGAAAAGAACCCAAACTCTGTAAAATAATATAAGGAGTTTTATTCTGAGCAAGTATGTGGGAACATGGCCCAGAAAGCCACACCCAAGAACCCTTGAACCAGTGGCCTCCCGGTGGTTGGGTTATAGTTTGGTGGTTTGTACATTTCAGGGAGGCAGAATTACATGTAAAATCATAAATCCATACATGGAAGGTGTACATTGGTTTGGCCTGAAAAGGCAGGACATCTCAAAGTGGGAGATTACAGGTTTTAGGTAGTTTTTTTAAAATTTTTATTTACTTTTTTTTATTTCTTATTTTTCATGTCTTCAAAAAGCAAAAGAAACGATTTTTAGTTAGTTTTAAAGATTCTTCAGGCCAGGCACTGTGGCTCACGCCTGTAATCCTAGCGCTCTGGGAGGCTGAGGCGGGAGGATCCCTTGAGCTCAGGAGTTGAGACCAGCCTGAGCAAGAGTGAGACCCCGTCTCTACTAAAAATAGGAAAAATTAGCTGAGTGCCTGCTCCTGTAGTCCCAGCTACCTGAGAGGCTGAGGCGGGAGGATTGCTGGAGCATGGGAGTTTTGAGGTTGCTGTGAGCTAGGCTGACACCATGGTACTCTAGCCCAGGCAACAGAGAGAGACTGCCTCAAAAATAAATAAATAAAGATTCTTCAATTCATAATTGGTTAAAGAAATGAAGCTTTGCCTAAAGTCCTGGAATGTTTTAAGTAAAGATAAGGAAGTCTGCTAATCATGGACAAGCCACCAGGCATATACAGAGATTTAAATAATCTGTTAAGTAAATTGATGACCTACAGGTGTGGTTTAACCTTTGCCTTACATGGCTTTAGCCTTGTTAATGATTTTGTATCTTATTGTCACAAAGTATAACTCCAAAAGGCAGAGGGCATAATTAGGCCTGTCTGACCTCCCTTGTCCTCATGGCCAGAAACTCAGCTTTAAGGTTGTTTTTATGGGTGTGTGTGGGCAGAGGTCATCTTGGCCAAGAGGGAGTCCATTCAGTCACTAGGGGGCTTAAGATTTTTAGTTCACAGTCAGTATATTGTGGCTTCCTCTGTGATAAGCAAACTTCCTTAACTTAGGCATTCCTTCCTACAAACTCGAAATTTTTAGACAAAGCTTTACTCTCTCAACCAATTGCCAATTGAAGAATTTCCAAATCCACTGTAATGGATTCCAAATGTCATTCCAAATGACATGTAAGCCCCAATTTCTAGATGTCCCATCTTTTGGGGCCAAACCAATGTATGTCTTGCATGTACTGAGTTGTGATTTTACCTACAATTCCTGTTTCCCTGAAATGTATAAAACCAAACTGCAATCTGTCCACCTCAGGACCACTTACTGAAGGCTTATGGGGTTTATGTATTCCCAGACCGAGGTCACCCACATTGGCTCAGAATAAACCTCTTTAAATTATTTTGCAAAGTTTGGTTTTTTCCTTGTTAATACAATTATAGTTCTGCATCCTAGCCCAGATTTCCCTGCTGTCTTCCTCTACAATGCTAAACCAGATGTTTGTCTGCTACTTTATTGTCTAAGTGCTAACCTACCACGTCATTTCCTGGGAGAAATAAAAAGCCCTTTTGTCAAGGCTCTTGTGCATTTAAAATGCTGTCATGTGCTAATGCTGAATCCCAGGGGTCCGCTTTTCTGCCACCCCCTCAACCAACAACACTTAAGGAATTCTTGCTCACTTAAGCCGTTGAGATGCTCAGGTAAAAGGCACTTGTAACACTTTTTATTTATAATAGCTGGTTAATAAAGAAGGAGATCAAATAATGCCACTCTAGTATGCTGATTACTTCAAGCAGAAGGCCCTTGGGAACAGCAACTGCTGGGAGGGTCTTTCTCTGAATTTTCCTTAGGTGCCTAAAGACAGATCCTCCAAAAGGAACTCAGTTGTCAGGAATCTCACTGGGAATCTCCTCAGGGAGAAGGAAGAATATCACAGGGGAGAAGATCGGAGGTCGTCGCCACACCCAAACGACAAACTCAAGGGTCATCCCTTGGGCACATAATAGATTTGCATACCTTTTCTCCTGTTAATCTGCCTGCTCTCAGGTTATTTCATAGACTCGATTACTGGACCCTCAGAGGGTAGAAGGAAAGTTCTCCCTTTGCTAAAGTTTCCTTAAAAGATTCTTAATGGCTCTAGTTTTTCTACTTAAAAATAAAAGATTGTTTTTATATTGTCTCTTCATTTTTTTGCTTCTTAATCCCTAATTTTTTGCTTCTTAAACCCTTCTTAAAACCTTATACGGTATAGCATATTGTTTTTAGCAGATGATCAGTTAGCAAAGGAAAGGGAAAGAAATGTTTTAATCCGACTCACTTCTCTATTTTTATTAAGTCTTATGTAAATGACTGTTCAAAAGGAAGAAATAACACAATATTTGGTGTTAGTATAAACCTCTCATAACAAAACATAAGATAATCTCAGCAAGAACTGGAATTTCATTCAGATATAGTGGTAGTCTGGCATTGTCACATGCCACTGTATCTACTCACAGGGTGATGGAGTTTTATTTCCATCTCAGTGTTGACAGTGCTATCATGTGACATCTCATGTTTAAATAAGTCCCTACAGCAATTGTGAGCTAATCTTGAAATGCAGACAGCACAGACACATGAATTTTAAATAGTAAGTGGCAGGCTAGCCTCAAATAGCTTTTTCTTCCCTCCTGAAAAAAAAAAAAAAAAAAATATATATATATATATGTGTGTATGTGTGTGTTGTTTTAATCTGTCTATGCAGTGAACTATGTCATGAGAATAACCAACTAGTACCAAATGAGGTCCCAGGCTGGTAGAAGTCGCTTGGTTGTCAGGGGAGAACAGGCAGGAACTCCTTGAAAATGCAGTAGGGTGGCAACGTTCAAGTAACTCTTTGTGAGACCACAGAGAAGGTCATTCAGTGAAGATTAAGGATTTATTACAAAATTAATGTTAGCCCAGATGATGGTACTACCGGAAACTCTAGTTCAGAGGAAAAAGTTTGCCTCAAAAGGACCAGAAAGGATTTTTTTTTCATAATACAGCCACTTGTGGTTTTATTATTTATTTTTTTAATTTATAATAGATTTAGGGGGTATAAGGG